ATAATATAATAATATATAATAATATATTATATTATATATATACACATACATTCGTTGTAGTTGTAACTTAAGATTGGCAGTTTCAGCAACACCAACTTTTTGCGAAGATAGCAAAGAGCCTTTCACTGCAGCATTTGCCAAATTTGGATCAGCTGAGGCACAATCTATGGCAAGTTTCTGGAGGCCCGGCACTGGGGCACGGAAAAGAAAATACAGTGGTCCTCCCTTCAGCCCTGTTTGTTTGACTTGTTCCATTCTTGATGTCTCTAGTCTTGGGGTGCCGCTGGGTCTTATGGCATCTACTTTGTTGTGTACGCAACAGAAAACCTCTCAACTTGAGTGTTTTGCCAAGTAACGCCATGCCCCAAGTCGTTGCGGATCAAAGCTGGGCCGACTGGATCCGCAGGTTCATCCACATAATCCTAAAGCTTGGACAGTGTATGTGGACCTCGAGGACTTGGCTTTGGTGGGATTGGCATGGGGATGGGTTAAAATCTATACACAGATTATATATTAAGCCAGATGAACAGCCACTTACCAGCTATTTTGATGTTCACCAGGGTAGGGTTTTGATAGCCAAGCGCGTTCAGAGCTGCGAATGTCCTCAGCAAGGACTCCGTGGGCGAGATTGAGCGAGCACGGGTTGCTTGGCTGAAGCATAGTGCTTGAAACCGATGCAGTGCCAATGAGTCACCCGCTGTGAAATTTGACCCAACCCCATCATTAATCCATGATGCACTCCATGATGCACGGAGTCGTTTGGTCCAGGCACTTTGCGAACTCGCAGTCAATCAGGAGAGCCAGCACATTGCCGGGGGGGAGGAGAAGGCCATGGCTGCGATGGCTGCTGCTGATGCTGCTTTTTCGATTCTTTTGCAGGAGCGCTTGGACATGCCAGAGCTGGTCTGGAAGCGCTTTATTGACCTTGAGGTGCTCCATTGATTGGGTCCGTCATGGCGGGGAGTGCAGGGCAGTGAAGATATATAAATAATGAATTCAATCACACATTTTGTTTGCTGTGTTGGAAAGACTCAAAGGTGCTCGAAGACTTGAAAGTGTTCGTATGGGCTGTCCTGAATTGTTTCAGCTTCAAAGGAAAGGATCGTACCATTTATGCACATTGCTTGCTCGCAAATAGTTGCCATGATTCGAACTCTACAAGTAGAGATCATCAGCAGGGTTGGACCTCTCCCTTGCGCAATTCACAGCATCTATTTGTAGCAGCTTTGATACTCCAATGATCTTCAATTCGTCCCATATTTTCTGATACTTCACAGTGCGATGTTCAAAGCAGCTTTCTACCCCAGCGATTCAGCTATTCGAACAACAGAATCTACCACATTGGATGGTTCCTCTGTGCCATGGAAGAGCCGGTGCCACCGATTGTTCGGGCTCGTTTTGGCCTGGAACAGAGATGTGCATATCGCCATGCAGACTTATATGATGAAGAAGTACCCGAGGCACCCTGTGCCCAAAAGGATACAGGGTGGGCACCTCTGATGTGTTGTGCATCCGCACCAGCTTTGATGCTAATGGTTAATAGTTATCCAATAGATTCCAATAGTTGACAATAATGATTACTAGTTATATCTAGTTATCCACGATACTAGTCAAGTATATAAACTATATACTAACAACTTAATGAATCCAAAATCCTCGTCCCTGGAAGGTGGATCTGGAAACAGTGATCGCTCAGCCAGAACTTGGTGCAGAGTGTGCCATAAAGAGCTTTGTCCTGCTGGGGGATCAGAATGCTGGCAAGTCCACCATGTTACACAGACGCTGGGCTTTTGGTTGCAGCATATTTGACGTTTCTTTTTTTAGCTGCTATGAATCAACTTGGGTCAATCACATTCATTTCTCTTTGCTCCCGATTGACTGGCTCATTTGTGGTTCCCTGAACCACAAGTGCTCAAATCTGTTCCTTTGAGACTTTTTTTTACATTGGAACGTGGCAGCCTTCATCCACCGTTGGTGAGCTGGGGCATCACAGACAATTTTAGGCTTCTGCCGCAGTGGCGATGTGGGTTTTATGCAGCTGTCTTCATTGCTTCCCATCTTGTCGAGTTCCTTCATCAACACTCGGAGCCTTGGACGCCTTGCAAGGAACAGAGAGTGTCTCAGGGACTTGAAGAGACATATGTTGGATATTGTTGGATGATTCCAGGCTTAAAATGTAGGGACGGGGGGAATGATCCATAATTTTTGTAATCCACACTACTTATTAATAATCATACCATTCCCCCATTCCCTACGTTTAGCACCAGTAAATGTGTGCGATGCCAAGGATGGTTCCCCATGGCCTCTTGGAGCATCCTGACCAACCCATCAGTGCAGTTCGCGATGAACTGCCTTACATGGACACCGATATCGCTCGTGGCCTTGTGTCTTGCCCACATATCGCTAGGCATATGGAGAATGTTTGAAATCAGCAAAAGAGATCAAAAATGATGCAGAATTGTAATCCAATTGGACTGGAGAATCATTTTTCCAGTTGGACTAGCAACTTCAATCCATGATCACAATATCAGGTCAAGATGGTCAACATGGTCAAGACTCTCAGCTGTGCTATTGACATCTGTTGACATTTGTTGATATCTCTTCATGATCCTGAGGTGATGTTGACTTTGGAGAACTTCGGATTTTTCTGCCAAGAATTTGGCCTCTGGGATCCTGCAGTTGAAGCTGCTCCCAGCTTTTTGGATTTCGACCAGGAGGTCTGCTGTGTCGAGGGCCCGGTTCCAGACCGTGTATATCAAGGAGGATCAACGCACTCTGTAAGATGGGTCATATCATGTCACACATTTATATCAACTTAGAGGTTTGTGAAGATGAGTGGATAGAACTTGCGGGAGAGCAAGATTTGCGAACCTGCAAGACGTTGCTTTGATTCAGAACGTCCGCTTTGTTCAATACATAAAGTACAAGCTTTAGAATTCTTAAAGGCGCAGTTTCCACTCCATTCCCAAAGTTGCAGGTCCGTTTTGTGGTACTGCACTTTACAGAATTGGGCGGCGACCATTTGGATCGCTTGGTGAAGTTTGTGACGTCCAACCATGACATGGAAATGCTGAAGAAGTCGGAGGCAATCCAAGACGAAGCCTTTTGGAAAGACATGCATGAGGCCTCCCCAGGGTATGTGGCGATGCTGAAAATGGGGGATTGACCCCAAAGATGGAGATTTTCTCATGGGAACATGATGATTCACCAGCGGATTTGGGGGTATCGAATTCTCAAAGCCAGATGGCTTTGGATTGGATCCATATTGGATGGTTTTGATCTCAGGCAAACTTTTAATTCCTTTTGCTGCCATTTTTTTGTGCCAGCCAGGCCAGCCACAGCCTTTTTTGGATCCTGCTTGACAGGTGCTGTTGGGGTCGCTGCGATTGCTGAAAGACACGACCCGCAGCGCTTTCTTCTTGAACTGCAGCACCCTATTCTTGGGTGGTATGTTGCAAAGACAAGCCTTACGCCAGACGCTGCGGAAGCTTCGTTTTCTAAATCAGGTCTTAGGTGGCCCGGCAAATCTTGAGTTGAGTCGCTTTGAAGATACATTGACACGTGTTTTGAATATTCACGGGAAAAAACACACATATACATACACTACATTAGGTTACGTTACGTTACGTTACGTTACGTTACATTACATTACATTACATTACATACATACATACACACATACGTGGTGCACCCTCAACAGTGGATGCAGCGCCAACCAGCGCTGATGCTGTTGGATGGTGGGTCAACACTGAGGTGGGAGGGAAATCCTGTTTTACTGTGCTCGCACTGATGGGGTCCCCATGGGTTCCTTTGACCCAAAGCGGTCATGGGATGAAGCCATGATGGAGCTGATCAGCTTTGCCAAGGAGGAATGCACCTTGCCGCTGTTTCAGATCCCGATGGCGATGCTGTTGGTTAGACATGGTTAGACACTCAATGTTGCATCCTCAATGGGAAAAAATGGGACACATATATGGGATTATGGGATGATGATCCCGGACTTTGGTCCATTTGGCGAAGGTAACTACCAAGTAAAATGTGCCCTTGTAGACAGGCAGCAGGGAGCTGCAGGGAGTGATGATGCCACAGAGCGCGCTGCACTGGCAGTCAGAGAAAGTGCTGGATGAAACCGCCTTGAAGGAAGTGGTTGGAGATGTTCCTGATGAAGGGCAGAGTGCCCCACTTCTAGCGCAGCTTCGCTGCACAGATTACACATTTGTCGAAAGTAAGGACGGTTGAAAACAGAGCATGATTCACACAAGTTTGATTTTATTGAGTTGTAGAATTGCCAATTTCTCAATTCCACTGAAAGCTGCAGATTGCTGCCCGAGATTCAACAAGACTGGAGCCATTGCCAAACCCACCCTCGCCAACAGTGGACATCAGTGAGCACAAAGAAGGAATCTGTGCATGGGGAAACCCCAGAGTCTAGATGAGTCTGGTGGAAGATCAACACTGTAATTCACCCTCCAGCTGAGAGTTGCCAGATAGCCAGATAGATTTGCTGAAACGATAGCAGATCTACGACTGTACCTGAGACCCCCAAAGTCAATGCGAGAATGGCACAAGATTGAATACATCCATGATGCTTTGCGGTACAAAATACATCAAAATACAGAACATGATCACGACATCATCACCCAGGTGGCTGCATGCGTTTCTGCTCTTTCTCCTTCCATCCTTGGGCTTCCGGCTGCAACTCGTGGGCTTGGCGCCGGTGCGGAACTACAAAGAGGGGTCGAAGGGGTCGAGTCGGCAGCTGTGTGCTGCTAGCGTGGTTCGCAATGTTGGGACACTCTTGCAGCTCCTCGAACTGTTTTGAAGACTCGGTTAGACTATGTTAGACTTGCTATGACTTGGTGAACTATTTTGGGGTATTTTGGGCTTCAAGTGCAGTACCCAGTTTCTCTCAATCTCTCAACTGTACAATCAATCTTCCGACAGTTCGGTGGTATACTTCCACAATCAATGGGGTTTCAATGGCCAAATCAATCGATTGGTTTTCAAATGGTCAAACAAATCATTCAACTATTTTCATGTCCCACTAAGTGTGTTGTATACCCCGCAACACATAGATTTGCATAGATATAAATCAACACGCATAAACAAATACCACATAGAATATCATAGAATCAAATAGATAAGAATTGACATAGAAATGGATTGTAACATATTGTAATTGAGTACTCCCAACCATAGGATGCCACCATCCTTCGGTCACCCATCGGCCCAAGGCGTGGTTGCGCCATGGGCGACCTGGCACTGGCGCAGGTGGCTGAGCTGCTGCTGCGCTGTGCGTCGGAACGACGACGACTGGAGGGAGATACGCTGCACTGCTGGGTCACGCGACAGGACTTGGCCACGCACCTAGAGGAGACCGGGAAAAACGTGGAGATGGAGGTTTTAGTGGATGTCGAGTTGCGAACTATGATATATGTGATATATACATTATATATATAATTATATATGTTTATATATGTATATATAATAATGTTTATATAATGTTTATATCTGATATGCATCAACTATATAAAATACTATTTCTTTGGAGCTTAAAGTGTTTTTGGGGCTATAGCTTTGTCCTTCAGGGTTTGTTATTCCTTTTGGGCTGACACGTTTGATCCTGGTCTTTGATGCAACCCTTCAGAGGAGTGTGAGGCGGAACAACAAGCGGTTCCTTTGCCGGAAGTCTCTGCCTTGTCATCTTGGCCAAAAGTCACTGGAGTTTTGCTGCGCGCAGGGATTTGCACAGAGATGGCTGATGGAGGCCTACCTAAAGTGGCACTGGATCTGCATGGTGTCCAAGCAGATGCTGTAGTACGCCTTCGAGCAGCATTACATCAGCCAGAGGTCAGATCCTCTGATGTCTTATTTGTCACTCGCACAAGCAAATCCGTTGAGGAGAGGGACCACTGTGAAGCTGTTGGCTTGCCCTTTGATGCCGAATTCTTCAAGTTGCTAACCTCCGAAGCCGCTTTGCACGCCATAACGACTCAATTGTCCTTCTCGCAGCACAAAGATGGCGTTCGGTTTCAATCGCCTGAGACGCTGCGACAGTTGGATGGTATTCGTGCTCGCCTACGTCAGGAACTGCAGGACTTGCTACGGGCCGGGCTCACAAGTGGTACGCCTGGCGTGTTGGGTCGGCTGTTACGTGGAGCCAGCGATGTGTGGCAGGCGGAGCTTCTGGCGGAGGATCAGGATCCACAGGATCCACCTGAGCGTGCCTGTAAGAGGCTTTGCCTCCCCTGGCCAGTCGTGCGGCCGCCTGCTGAAGAAATCGCCACACAGATGCGACTGCTGTCACAACAGGATGGTTTGAACGTCCTCGTGGAGATTTGCCAAGCGGACGAGCCGATGGAAGGGCCGTGCTTGGCTTTACAGCTGCCAGCTGACACGGCACAAAAAGCGGCAGGCAGCATGAGGATTTCTAGATAGAGAATGATAGAGAATGATGGAGATATATTTTGTACTTAGAGACTCTTGGATACTGTAGACCTAGTGTATCAAAGTATCAACCATTGACTGACATTTAAATATATTACATATATATATATACACACTACATACTATATAATATATACACATAGTGATCATGCTGTACTGCAGGGGTTCCAAGGATTTCAGTGCATTTGTTTTCCACCGGCATGCCACACTTCCAGGTGAGTCAAGAGCAGCTTGACAACGCGAGAAAGGCCAGCCATATGGATACTGGGGATCAAAGTGGAAAGCTAAAGAGCCAAGGTACTTTAGGTACTTTAGGTACGAGGTTTACCTTCAAAACCACTTTTCATGAGGTGAGAGGCGTGAGAGGTGTTGAGCCCACTCATACATTTGATTTGTACACGACCATCCCATATGTGTTGCAACATCCCGCGACAAATCAATGGAAAAGATAAGGAAGCACAAATTACCAATCCAACAATCAATACCCCATCAATGATCCGTCGATTGTAATCAAGAGTCCAATCAAAAGCCATTGCCACTCAATTGACTTGAGGTCATCAATTGCTTAAATCTGGGTTGCGAACAATAATATATGTAATATGTAATATATTCATATATACATACGATTGAAGCCATCATATACATCTACATGCATCTAAATATACATCTACATCTGATATGTTTTCAATATCATTTATGTATATATATATGTATATATACACATACACACGCGTATATACACGCGTATACATGTATATATATATATGCAGATAACGCTATTATATGGTTGTGTATATATATATATACACATATAATCTGTATATATATATACTATTATATGTGTGTATAATATATATATATTCTACATACACATAGAATCACATACACACACACACATATATATATATACACATGTGTATACATAATGTGAACCAAGTATTTAGCCATATTTCGCCAGCCATATTTCCAGGGGTCCAAGGTGTGGCAGCAGTTGCTGGGCAAGTCACACCATGTTCGGGTGTACATCGCCTATAGTGACTTCGAGGCGAAGGATGATTTATGAATATGTTTGAACTAGTTGGAGTTTTAGATGGTTTTAGATCATTGCAGATCCATCATGGGCGAACAATGGCAGAAAAGATCTGCGTTTTGTTTCTCTCGTGATGTTATTCTGTGATCTTACGATCCCAGAGGAGCTGCTGTAGCAGTCCTTACCACCAGGAATGAAACCTGAACAAATCGCCCAGTCATCTTGCAAGGCGGTGACATGCCAATCAATGGAAAAGGCCAGAGAAGCTCTAGATGATGGCCAAAAGCACTTCAAGGCCCAGGGTCTATGCGGGCATAGGGGGGCATATGCGGGCATATGGAGGTTTTGTCTCTCCTTTTTTGGGTGCGTCGTTGCATTCGTCAGGTGGAAAACCGCAACGAGGAGCGTGCCATGCTTCTGGAGCACTTGCCGGCTGGCCCAACCATCAGATACCACTAAGCTTTGGGTGGTTTTAACCATCGACATCCATCGCAAAAAGGCTGGATCACTTTGGGTTGGTTGAATAATCGCTGATTCAACATCCATGCACTGGTGACAACAAGTCTTGTTTTGCAGGTGCACCTGTTGGAGATGTAAACAAAACATCCCAGTGCTCAGAATCAACTCAAAGAAACTCTACTTGTAGCCTTTGGATTGCTGGAAAATTGTGATATCACCTGCATGCCAGCTTTACCAGCCGATCAATGCGTGAGCAAGCCTGATACTGGAGTTCCAAGCAAACCTTCATCTTCACCTTTCTCTTCATAATTATCTTTATCTTCCTCTTTATCTTCATCCTTATATCTTCCTCCTCATATTTTCATCCTCATATCTTCATCATCCTCCTCCTCCTCCTCCAAAGCTACTATATAGATGCCCTCAATCCGGAGTTTCTAAGGCTGAAACTGGAAAGAGAGCATGGTGACGACACCTCCATCGAGGTCTCAGCACAGTGAAAGCGTTGCAGATTTCCATCAACTTCCATAAATTTGCTGAAATTCATAGGTATGGCTCAAAATTATTGACCGCCCAGACAGTTTGGATGGTTCAAAACTAAAAAACGCCAGTTTTTTTTTGGTGGGTCCAGAATTCCCAGGACATAGTTTTGATCCACACGCAATTTTGATGGGTTAAAGTCCCAAATTGTTGATGGTAAAACCTCCGCTCTTGTTGGATGGATCACCATTCATTTTTTGTGGTTAAAACACAAGTTTGGATCCATACCCACATGGAGGGAGGTTTCCTAAAATAGGGGTAACCCTGAATCATCCATTTCAATTGACTTTTCCATTATAAACCATCCATTTTGGGGTACCCCCATTGTAGGAACCCCCCACATGAGTTGTGGCCATTCTGGAAGGCCGCCGAGAAGCGACAGCCGAAGCGGGAGAAAAAGAGGCCTGGACGAGTGGACCAGCAGTGGATATAGTAGTGGGTATAGTGAGCTAAAATAACCAACAAACAACGGGATATAGCGATATAGTGGGGATACAATGGGGATACAGTGGAAATATGGTGGGCATGTGAAGATATCAGGGGAATACAGGCCAACCGGATGCTGAAATCAGTGGGTTTTTGTACCCTCAAGTAACTGGATGCTGAATGACCGAACCATGGAACACAATGCAGGATGAATGGATAAGTGCCAAAAAGGCTAACATTTATCGAAAAGAGCTAACCCCAATTTATCGCAATCGAGCTAATAGACCGCTTTATATAGTTGTTTTTTTTTGGAGTACCCAATTGTGGACAAAGCCATATCAATAACAGACAGTGTGAAGTTTTGGTGTGTGAAAAATGGGTGGGGGCCAGGCGAGTCATTCCTGGTGGCGAGGGTGAAGATGGTCAGGAAGCTTATGAGGTGGCGGACTCTGGCGGAAACGGCTGAGTTCTTTTTTTTTGTCTTGGTGGGTCTGGAAAAGATACCCCCTTCAGAATGAGTGGAGTTTTTCCCGAGAGCGTCTGAGCGCAGGGTTCTTCCAATAGTGGGGGTCTGTAAAACATCTTCTCATCTTCACATCTCTCTCACATCTTCATCATCTTCTCTCATCTTCACATCCTCTCATCTTCACATCCTCTCATCTTCACATCCTCTCATCTTCACATCTTTTCATCTTCACATCCTCTCATCTTCACATCTTTTCATCTTTACATCCTCTCATCTTCACATCCTCTCATCTTCACATCTGCTCATCTTCACATCCGCTCATCTTCACATCCTCTCATCTTCACATCCTCTCATCTTCACATCTGATCATCTTCACACCTTCCCATCTTCACATCTGCTCATCTTCACACCTTCCCATCTTCTCATCTTCACATCTGCTCATCTTCACATCTGCTCATCTTCACACCTTCCCATCTTCACATCTTCTCATCTTCACATCTGCTCATCTTCACATCTGCTCATCTTCACATCTGCTCATCTTCGCATCTGCTCATCTTCACACCTTCCCAACTTCACATCTTCTCATCTTCACATCTGCTCATCTTCACATCTGCTCATCTTCACATCTGCTCATCTTCACATCTGCTCATCTTCACATCTGCTCATCTTCACATCTTCTTACATCTGCTCATCTTCACATCTGCTCATCTTCACATCTGCTCATCTTCACATCTGCTCATCTTCACATCTGCTCATCTTCACATCTGCTCATCTTCACATCTGCTCATCTTCACATCTTCTTATCTTCACACCTGCTCACCTTCTCTCTCACGCCTTCTTTTTATCTTTCTCTCTTAAGGCCGAGGGTGGTACCGGCGGCGAGTCACGAAACGTCAACCCTTTCGCACGAAATGAGGGCCGATCGGCAAAAACTGAGGTAAAATTGCGATTTTACTTGTCCTGGAGCAACCCTTTCGCACGAAATGAGGGTCGATCGGCAAAAACTGAGGTAAAATTGTGATTTTACTTGTCCTGGAGCAACCCTTTCGCACGAAATGAGGGTCGATCGGCAAAAACTGAGGTAAAATTGCGATTTTACTAGTCCTGGAGCAACCCTTTCGCACGAAATGAAGGTCGATCGGCAAAAACTGAGGTAAAATTGCGATTTTACTTGCCCCGGAGCAGCCCTTTCGCACGAAATGAAGGTCGATCGGCAAAAACTGAGGTAAAATTGCGATTTTACTTGTCCTGGAGCAACCCTTTCGCACGAAATGAGGGTCGATCGGCAAAAACTGAGGTAAAATTGCGATTTTACTTGTCCTGGGGCAACCCTTTCGCACGAAATGAAGGTCGATCGGCAAAAACTGAGGTAAAATTGCGATTTGACTTGTCCTGGAGCAACCCTTTCGCACGAAATGAAGGTCGATCGGCAAAAACTCAGGTAAAATTGCGATTTGACTTGCCCCGGAGGAACCCTTTCGCACGAAATGAGGGTCGATCGGCAAAAACTGAGGTAAAATTGCGATTTTACTTGTGCCGGAGCAACCCTTTCGCACGAAATGAGGGTCGATCGGCAAAACTGTCTAAACCTGGGGTAATTGTGCATTTTTTTTTCGTGTGCTGGAGTAACCCTTTCGCACGAAAAGGGGTTTGTGTGTACGAGCGTTTCTGTGTAAAGATGTTTGTGTGTAAAAGTGTTTGTGTGTACAAGTGCATCTGTGTAAAAGTGTTGTGTGTAAAACCTTCTGTGTGTTCAAGTCTTTGTGTGTAAACGGGTTTGTGTGTACGAGTGTTTCTGTGTAAAGAAGTTTGTGTGTAAAAGTGATTGTATGTAAAATTGCATCTGTTTAAACGTGATTGTGTGTAAAAGCTTCTGTGTGTACAAGCGTTTGTGTGTAAAAGCAGCTCCTGTGTGTAAAAGGGTCTGTGTGTAAAAGTGTCTGTGTGTAAAAGTGTCTGTGTGTAAAGGCTTCTGTGTGTAAAAGTGTCTGTGTAGAAGCGTCTGTGTGTAAAAGCTTCTGTATGTAAAAGCTTCTGTGTGTAAAAGCTTCTGTATGTAAAAGCTTCTGTGTGTAAAAGCTTCTGTGGGTAAAAGCTTTGTGTGTAAAAGCGTCTGTGTAAAAGCGTCTGTGTGTAAAAGTGTCTGCGATGCAAACTATTGTCTTGCACTTCTCACTATTTTGTCTTGATACTCCTCTTCTCGACTGCCTATAACACAGCTTTCATATATCGTTTCTAATATTGCGTCTCCATACTAACAAGAGAAGACCCTGCTCCTCTACGCTCTCGGGCCATCCGTCGTCTAGTTTTTTGGGGCATCCGGAGTTTAATTAGTCAATTTGGGACCGTACTGCAAGCAACTGTTTTTTGGGAGCTTGTTGGCAAAAGCCCAGAGGACAGGTTAGTTGTTGGAGAAAAACTGTCAGTCAAGTAGCACCAAGACCCTTGAGTATCTTGAGTTGATTTCAACCTGTCGAAGCTAAGATTTTCTGAGATTTCTTCCAAACGCAGGGATTGTTCGGCACGTGCATTTTTTTTGGTCTCAGCACCTTCTTGTTTGACATCAGGAATACATGGACTATGCCTTCCAAGAGGCCATGCTGGGCCATGATTCAGCTGTCATTGACACTGGCAGACTCTCTCCAGTCGTTGGCCCGCTGGCCCAACCATCAGTGATTCACAGCTGGCCAGGACAACAAGGAACAGCAGAACCTCAAAATCCTGGAGATGGCTCGTATGTGGAAGAAGAGAAAAATTGAAAGCTCGCAGTAGAACGACCCATGCACCAGGACCTGCAAGCTGATGGGAAGTGATGCTGAGTGGTTTGCTAGCAATCATAAGGGGTGTTCTCCGCTATCCTCAAGTAAGTAAAAAATTAGAGATATAGTACTATGATATACTATGATATACTATGATATACTATGATATACTATGATATACTTGGTAGATTTTCTTTACTTTTATAATCTTTTATATACTGTATATCCTTCAAGTATCCTTATTCAATGTTTTTCTTCGATCCCCATTCAGTGGATCTCTGCCTGCACCTGGGCTCCAGGAATTCAGGCGGTGCCGAATCTGAGCGGGGCCTGGGAGCGAAAAAGAGTCTGCGCAGGGGGAGAAAGCATTGGGCATAACGAGAAAGGGGACATAACATAGCAACCCCCAAAGAATACGGGTAAATTACTTTTCTATCTTTTTCGGGTTACTCTAGGCTACAATGACATCTACTAAGAATTAAGAATTGACAGAACTATGGGCAATTTTAGCCAACAAAAACAGGGCTTATTTCAGCACGGGTCTTCAATCAGGATTTCAGCCACATACAGCAGGATTTGACGGACTGACCAACAAACATATAGATATCTCCAAAGGTACAGGAATTTCAGCAGCGAACACGGGAGTGACTTAACCAGACATCTCGCAATCTCAGACTTGTCCGGTGCACCCACACGCCAAGTGCTTGAGGATTCCATTGACACTGGAACAAGCCTCGAATCAGAAACTAGCCGCTTAACACTGTGAATATCATCCTAAAAGAACTCCTGTGGGACTCTTGCGCTATTTCAGACGACCCCGACTTGAACAACTCCTATGGCATCATCAAAAGTCACTCGGAGACCTCATCATTCAAGCACAGCTTGCTGGGCAGCGACATCGGCATTTCCGCTGTTTCTGGTTTCCATCTCAACTTTATTCCTGAAGCTTCGCACAAATATTGACAGCATCATGCATGTAATCTGCCAGAACTTCTTTGAAACGAAATGATCACACCTAAAGCAAGACTTCTGCTTTCTTGTCACAGCCTGCAAGGAGTCCTGGTAGAATGTTCAGAGCTCCACACAGCTACAGATTGTTTGAAAACAGGATGCCCCTAAATCCACTGGTAACGCTTGATCTTCATTTTCTCTCTTAAAGACCCCATTTTCAGACACCCAATTAGCTCAGCCCTGCCATCCGGCTGATCATGCCAGTCCTATATGGTCGAGGTTTCGGACCATGGACATCCATGGACGATGTCCATTGGCATGCCTTTGCGACGTAGTTGGAACATATTGGAACATCCTGATGTAGACCATCATGACCATCTTCAATTCCCAAACAAGGCAGTTCGCTGCATCTTTTCTCTTAACTTTTCAATCCATTTGGGGATACAAACTTCCCCAGTTGAGGGCCCGCCAAGTAAATGACCGGTCGAGTCTAGGCCCTATAACCCTAGACCGCCATAGATTCTGCCGTTGACAGGCTACCTTTGTTGGATCATGGCTGCCTCGGTCAGGACCAAGGATGTTGCAGTGCTTTTTGCTTGGGGGATCGGGGAAATGAGAAAACTGTACGTTTCCTGCTTCCGTTATCTTTAGATGTTAAATTTTGTGCATATCCTGAAGAATGAATAGCCAATAGTCAATAGTCATTCCTTTTTTGCCAAGTGGCCAAATGAGTTTAGAATTTCGAGACATACCCTGAAATTTCTGCTTTTGGCAGACTTTTTCATGGCCAAACGCGGACTGGAAAGCTGTGGCAATGATTCTTCAGAGTAGAGGCCCTTCCGGGTGTCACATATGCGATTCCCGCAAATGCACATGTCTGTGCCTCGAGGATAGAAGCAATTTTCGGATGGGGAACATAAAGGAGACCTTATACATCCCAGGCAAGTTAGAGTTGAATCCAGTTGAATCCAGTGCAAAGCATCAGATCTCATGGCTGAGTACAAAAATCCTGTGCCATCGCATGTGAGTCTGCTGGCAGATGGTCCACACGCGTACTTTGGAACATGGACAGCCTGGCGAATGGAAACAAGGCTGGACTTGGGCCACGCGGCTTCCATTTTTGAAGGTCGCCACGAATGATTTCAACGCAAAAATGGTCTAGTTCTCCAGTAGATTCACCTTGATTCACCGATTCCTGAGGTCGCCCTTGTGGATTTCCATGTTTGAAACCCGGGGTATTGAAACTTTCTGGTCAGAAGTCAGAAGTGGATGATCCCAGTTCCCCAATTTTCTATTGTTCTACGTCCCAAGTTGTTTGGTGATCGGTGAATCCCAGAGATCATCCGAAAATCTCAGTAGCTGCAGCCTTCAGGCATCTCCAAAGGTGACAGATGCTGACAAGAGAGTTCACGAATGTTCACGATCTCAAGAAGCTGTGGCAGGCCAGCTCCTGGAACATCAATCTTTGACCTTTTCGGTGTGAGCCATCATACCTTGCTTGAGGCGGTTGAGACTGGATGTGTATGTTCTCTATGTTCTTTGCATGACATGTGAACAAAGTTTTGGTGGAGCGATGGATTCGGTGATTCGGCGATGGATTCTGCAGAATTTGGGCTCGGACAAGCGGCCTGTGCCCTTCCGACCTTCTGAGGCTGCGGTTCACACTGTTTCGGAGTGTCATCGCTCATATCTTTCCACCACAAGAAGTAAGTGCCAACTAGTGCCATTTGTAGGTTTTAGATGGTTTTAGGTGGAATTGTTTTCATACAGATGGGCAGGGTTGTTTCAACCCATGGCAAATTGTGGCTCTTGGGAGGAAAAAATGCCGCCAGGCTATGGCTGTAGGTCTGCGTGCCTCAAGCAATGCGCTCCGTCAGCTGACCATGAGGCGTCGCCGTTTTTTCAACCACCATGCGTTCCAATCTTGGACCGTGCTGATATGTGCTGATGAAAATCATCCAGAGTGCCCTGATCAAGTAGAAGTTTTAAGTCCAACATTGTCCAACAAGTTATATAGCTCAGTCGCTTTTAAACATTTGGATTGTAATTCATTGGTAGTGGTAAAATGGTCCCCAAACTGGCGGGACAGGTAAAACCAAAGGACATCAAAGGACATATGTAGCAGAGTAGCGAATCCATTTTAGTTATACAATTTCTATCTATTGGGGGGCCACTATCACATCTACTTAACAAACTTCCTGACACTTTCGCTTGGAACCGCACTGACGTTGCTATCGCACTCCAGGACGATTCGGCCTGCGATATCTACACCAGTTTTCAGGCGGGAACGACCGATTCCAGGTGTCAGCTATCGTGCCTTGATCATCTTAGAGCTGAAGAGATTCACCAAGAAACTCCTCAATAATACACAAACTCCCATACACATATATACTACATATATGATCATATATATATATATATATATATCTACGGCATATATATATATATTATGTATATATATATGTATACACACATATATTATGTATATTATATGTATACATACATCTATGTATATGTAGTACGTGTACAGACATATGAATATTATTAATTATTATTATTATTATCACTGGCAGTGTTGAGCATGGTCTCTATTCAAGCAAGAGTCTGTATCAGAAGACTGTATCACCCTGGTGTTCCTAGTACCAGGCTTGCAACGAAGTGCTGCCAAGGAACACAGGACCGAGCGGATGCGCAACTAGCGCAAGAGGTCTATGTGTGATGCCATAGGAAACCACCTTTCCGAAAAATCCAGTGAACGAAAGAGCAGCAAAACTCTGAAGGGTGTCGGAGGTATAGTCAGCTGTTATCACCCGTTGTCATCTTCGATTTGGCAGGACTTCAAGGGTGCCTCGTTTTGGAACGTGCGTAGCTTCCACGTGGGCAAAGAGTCCTTAGAAGACGAGAGTAAGAGTCTTGGGGAATACTAGCAGATTTTTTTTTGGTGACTTTGGTGACTTTGGTGACTTTGGTTTCGCTCATCAAACTAGAAAACTCATATGAACATATCCTCAATTTTTCTAGTCCGCCATTTGACATGCATGAATCTGACGAACCTGTTGCGGCTGATATATCTGAGAAAAGAAAGCCTTAGCTGAATAATACCATCCACTGGATTCCAGTGCAGCTGCCGGCCGTGCAGGGATAATACTACGCTCGTGCACTTCCGGGAGTCGAAAACACCACATCCCTTACTGGCAAAGCCACACCAGCAGGGTAATGCCGAGCCACTTGTCTGCGGGAAGTCGCATTTGTCACATCACAACAGTGAGTTGACCAAAGGGTCCTGGTGGTACTCGTAGGTTGTGATTTCGGTGGCTCGTTTCTTTGAGATACTTCGCTCATGCTCACAAGTCAGGTTCAGCATTTTGACACACTGCAACTTGCGGCGTCGGTTGCGTCAGAATCTGCCGTGTGTTGAGGCTGTCCATCAGCTTAAACCACATTTGGAGCGAGGAAGAGATTCAAGAGCGTTTGGACAATCTGTATCAGCATCGGCCAAAGTCTTTGACCGACAAGATCATGCACCGTAGCTTGTCCAATTGGCATCATCAGGAGCTTCAGCGATGAAGCTTGTGCAAGTACAAATTCCGATTGATGCCGTTTGACCTGCTGTGTGGTCATGTATATGTGTGGACCAAAGTTAGTGACCTCCAGCATTTATGTGTATTTTTATGTTATTTCATTCATACTTGAGATGACCAGTTTTGTTGATATACACACCAATGAGCGGGATATAGCTTCCTGTCCCTGGAACTGCTCCCCTTCTCATTGGATCACAACTGGCCAGGGAGTTGCTTCGATCCAAGGAATCATGTGGAGTCTCTACAGGAGCTTCAACTGGGTGACAGGACTATTTGACTATCTCTCCGAGTTTTCGGATATTCCAAGTGCTGCTGAGTTGACATTGTTATGACTTGTTCTGTTTCAGATGAGCCAATGGGCCAGGATTTAAGCCTGTGAACACTCCAGCAGCTCGGCATGATTTTGGGCTCCAGAATCATGAAACCCGGAGCCTTCAAGTTAGATGTGCCAGGGTGCCATGATCATCATGATCAAAACTGGGGTGAATTGTCATTTTTCTAGAGGATGGTGAATGGTCATCAGTCCATTAATATTTCACAATATCATCAGATTCACATGCCCATTACCAGATATTACCAGGACTCCCATCATGGGATGGATGATCATATTGTATCCCCTGTACAATGTTTTATGTAACCATGGCACATTTGGATTTGAGATGATTTGAGCAGTATTGAGTCAACACTCCAAACTGAAATGGACTGAAGCATTCACTGACGTAAAGGAAGACACAGCGCAACTGATTCGTGAGGTTTCGGTACCCACGGTGCTCCTTTGAATGCTCAGAAACAACACAATGTGTATGTGCACGATGTTGCAAAATATGTATGTACATAAGATACGTATAAATAAATATCGTTTGTACACCCCAGAAATGGATCCTGGCTGGTCAATCAGGGGAGGTTCCCCGCCAAAGTAATACTTTGCTATTAGAGTTGACCCCCGCCCTAGTCACCCAAACCCGCACAATTCGTAGGGTGCGAAAAATACCACCCGTTTTCAATCAAATCCCGAAGTTTTGAAACCTGTCTTGGATTTCACAACCTCTCACCTGATGCTATTGTTTATTAGATGTGGTGGATCTTCAATCACTGCTGCACCACTCTGTGGCCAGCTGGTCTTTGACATCCACGCTCCCAAACGCAACCAGAAACAGACACTATGCTTAGCCAATTCCAAGGGGATCAAACATCAAACCCATCACAAAACACGGGTTGTCACAGGTAAATCATGCATGGGTTAGTGACGGGTTGCTGCCCCAACTCACCGACCCGAAAATTTTCATGTTGGGATTTCATTTTCTTCAAAATAGACGAAATCAGGAGCCTTAAATATTTTGAAAGGCGATAAAAAAAGAAGAAATTCCGTCAAAACAACTGATGGGAGGAGAGGGGGCCCTCTTGGAAGCACACGAGTTTTACACCAAACACGAGGTCAAACTTGATGTTTTCTGAATGTCTCGCGTAAACCCGAGGTTTCACAACAGCCCCGCCAAATTTGCAGGATTTAGGTGCTCAGGATACATAAGATATGTAATGTTATGTAATGTAATGTAGGAATGTAGGTATGTAGGTATGTAGGTATGTATGTATGTAGGTATGTAGTAGGTACGTAGGTATGTAGGTATGTAGGTACGTAGGTACGTAGGTATGTAGGTATGTAGGTATTTAGGTACGTAGGTATGTAGGTATGTAGGTATGTAGGTATGCAGGTATGCAGGTATGTATGTATGTAATGTAATGTAATGTAATGTAATGTAGTGTGATGTAATGTAATGTAGTGCAGTGTAATGTAATGTAATGTAATGTAATGTATGTATATATGTATATATGTATATATATATATACATAATATATACATATATATGTAAATATATGTATATATATATTATATATACATATATACATATGTACATATATATCTATATCTATATCTATATCTATATCTATATCTATATCTATATCTATATATATATATTATAGTATATCATATGATATATTATACATTGTATATTATATATTATATATTATATATAATACATAATATATAATATATAATATATAATATATAATATATAATATATAATATATAATATATAATAAATAATATATAATATATAATATATAATATATAATATATAATATATAATATATAATATATAATATATAATATATAATATAAACAATATAATATACTATAATACAGTATAATATAATATAATATAGTATAATATAAACATATTATACATATGTATTTATATGTAATATAATACATATATATGTATATATATAATATATACATATGTATGTATATATATATATATTACATGCACCTTTTGTGTAAATATAGCTGATGATGTACACTATTATATTGTTTACTTAGACTTAGATATATGCAGTTAGATATGTGTCGTGCCAGCAAGAGATTCCCAGGTCAGAGCAGTTGAGTGGCGCTTGATTGTCCTCGAGAGCTTTGCGGGTGTTCCTGGCTTCATGGCAGCCATGTTCAGGTGCTCAGGGGAAGCCTTGGACATGACATTGCCATGGCTGCCTGACATACTCCAGCCTTGAGCATTTCGGGGGAAGATGTTGAAGTATTCTTTGGAATGATGATTGAATCATGAACGGAATGTTGGATCCGGAGAAACGACGATCTCATTGTACTGTTTCTAATTGAGAGCCCGGGTTTATTTCGTAGTCCGACGGACAACTTTGATCTTGATGCCCACATCTCCATTCTGCCAGGCACTTTCGGTGCCTCCGCACCTTGCAGCGAGACCATGGTTGGATCCACACTTTGCCTGGACCTCAGAGCCTTTCATTGAGATGCCTGAGATGCCTGAAATTGCGAAGTGTCACAC